AAATTAAAATGTAATTGACTGAATATAGCTCATATAAGTGGTATATTTTAATTTTGAAGCATATTGAAATATGAAATGAAATGGAATGAAATGAAATGAAATGGAATGAAATGAAATGAAATGGAATGAAATGAAATGAAATGGAATAAAATGGAATGGAATGAAATGAAATGAAATGAAGTGAAATGAAATGAAATGAAATGAAATGAAGTGAAATGAAATGAAATGAAATGAAATGAAATGAAATGAAATGAAATGAAATGAAATGAAATGAAATGTTGTTTACAATCTAAAATGTTGCTATTTCACTAAAATGGTACAAAATTGATTAATGCAAGCTAAAACTTTATGATATTTATGTAATTTATCAAGCATTCAAATGTATGAATTTGAATGTAAAAGTGAATGTTGAGAAGGCAAAGATAAATCATTCAATTGAATTTAGAAAAATAAAAATATCTAAAATATCATTAAGGATACCTGAGCAGTTTTATATAATTTAACATAAGTTCTTTCTTCATACGTATATTTAGAGAAAACTTTCAATCACATTGCATTCAATTTTTGAGTCATTCATTAATCACTTACATATGCATTTTAAAATTTCCTTTCTATGGTTCTTTTTTTTTTTTTAAATTACTTTCACTATGAAAATAATTTAATCTTTGCATTTTGATTTTTTTCATCTTTTCTTTACCGTCAAAATCAAAATTTCACAAGAATTATTAAGAACTTTCAATTAAAATTTCGTTTTCTTTTTTTTTGCCTTCAAAAAGGCGCAAATATTAAGGTTAACAAATGGAAAGAATGAAAGAAATTTTATGCTCCAATAATTACAAAATTAATAATCAAATTTTACCAAAATCTAATTGTATTTATTACGAGATTTCTGATATTTTTGCTATATTTTTCTTATTATTTTATCAAATTAAAAGTATCTTCAGAAAACGGTTTTTTATCCTTCTCGAAAATTCATATCTTAGTCATATTTCAGGTCAGGTTATCCATGCTTTTCAAATTTTTCCAATAATCTTTTTAAGGCATAATCAGTATGATATTTGAGTTTAATTAATTGTTGGATAAATATATGAAAAGGAATCGAATAATAATGTCATTTCAGAAATTTTGCAATTCACAAGAAAAAAGATATTAAAATTCCTGAAATAATTGTAACTTTTTACATGACCAACAATTTTGGAAATTTTTGCACAGTTTTTTTTTTTTTTATGGCAGAATAATGAAATTGTATGATGTGGGATATTGATTTAATGAAAAAGTTCATTCATCTTTTTTTTTGCATAAATTTGAATTTTTATAACAATTTATAGATTGTTGTAATGATGTTAATGTTGATTTAATGATATGTTTTGAGGATTCAGAGAGGTCAATATGTCCATTCAATCATCCGTCGATTAGGTCAATTTTTCCATCCATTCCTATCGTCTCATCTATCTCAATTACTATTTAATATGATGACACCAAATAACTGTTTCAGCAATTTAAAAATTGTCAAAAAATAACATTTCTCATTAGTCTTCTTATTGTCAACTAGAGTTGTTGGATATTTTTTGTATTTCTAGCTTGTTCACTACTCATTTTTTGAATTTCAATTACTTCCTAGGCTCTATAAGCATGATGTTTAATTAATGGCTTTGATCTCATCGCATTATTCACAACAAGTTCCTGCTTTTACAATAACTTCCTGTATTTCAAATTATTTTGTACGATAGGACAATGGGAGGATTATGAAACTTCCTTTCCAAAACTTTTTTGATCAATCTTTTTTTTTTTGGAATACTAATACGCAATTGACTGGTTCACAAGTTCGGATGTCTTAATTAGAATATTTTTATTAAAATCTTACTTGAGTGAATTAAGTCCGATTAATTTTATTGTTTTGATTTTTAAAAAGAAGAAACAATTTTATTTTTTTTTAACTCAATTTTACTCAATTTAGCTCAATTTTTTTACTTATTTACATAAATTTAGTTTTGTGAAATGAATGTGCATGCATGCAGTGATTACCGTAATTCTTTTAAATCTAATGACAAATTTAAATACTCGTTGAGTATTTTATAAAATATCGAAACTTTATCAATTGTTACAAGTAATTATAACTATATTTTAAAATTATAAATCTAAAGTTTAGTGATACAGTTTAAAACATCAAATATTATTGAACATTAATCTGACTTCCAAATAATAAACATATTTTTGAGAAAACGGAAAAACATTCCCCTTAAATAGTTTTGAAATAATAAATTTTATTGTCCGTCCATCACCATCTATTCACTTCCCGGAATTAATTCCCGTTCCTTTCTCCTAAAATTTATTCCTTATTTTCTGCTCATTTAATTTATGATGACTTCTTTTTTTGTTTGAAAAATGTCGACTATATTTGAATTAGCCTTTTCATTACAGTGACTGTGATGAATTTCCTTTCTACAATATGTCGAATGCATTATTAATTTATTTGTACTTCATTTCATTTCATCTCAAATCAATTCATTTCAACTTCATTTCAATTACATTTCTTTTCCGGTTTGTGCCTTCTTATAAAAGTTTATTCAATGATTTCAACAGCGTAATATTTATAGACAAAATTTGTGTAATACTATTCAATTTGTCCATCAACAATTGAAAATATAAATTATTAATGTTTACCATGTAATTAAATCAATGGATTATTACAATGAAAGAGATTTACGGAAATTGAATCATTAAGAATACCGGTTTCTATTCTTTTATTCCAAATCCAACCAGATCTCTCTCATCTATCTATGCTTGTTTCATTTTATTCTCATTCGTACATTTAGTTTTACAATGTTTATCAATATGTTTGTTTGAAAAGGTTGCTATGTACATTTAACTCAATATTTATGATAATTATTTCCTGAAATTAGAAACTACGTACAGATTAGCTTTCGTAGGAATTAAAAATTAATTGAATTTATTAATTTAGTTTAACTAAAATTAATTGAATTGAAGCGTTATATTTCATCAACTATCCATTTCGTCATTCTATTCCCAAGTAAAAAATTGATGGCATTTTGTCGTTCAACTTTGATCGAACGCCTTCTGAATAGTAACAGTGGTCAAAATACCACCACAACTTCGGGAATTTTACGAAGTTGGAATGGTATCGATTCCTTTGAACAAGTAAGTTGATCGTTGAAAAACTATAGAACCTTTTAGGCTAACTATTTTTAAAATATCCTAAGTCTGGGTTCATAAAGTTTCGAAGGTGTAACTGGATTAGAAAGTGTTGAAAAAAGGTGTAGAATGCTGAAATTCCCTCAATGTTCTCGAATCTTCTCGACCAATTATTTGTCTATTTTAATATTAGAAGTATTATTCCAATGATAAATAATCATTTGAGGACAATATTATGGAAGTTTACCGGAAACTTTCAAATATTGAGGAACAAATTTGGGGCAAAGTGATTGTGATGGAAAGAAATATTCGTTCTGCGAAGGCTTACCTCCGATCGCGTGTTGTTACAATTGACGGAAGCAAAGCTGAATTCGACGGTCTTCGGTAACATTTTCTTTCTTTCCGGAATTAAATCCAGCATTATGCTTCAGACTGAAATTCATTCTTAACATAGTCTCTTGAACCAGTGATAACAGTAATTGTTGATTAGATTTTAGAAATTTCTAAATCTTGAACTGTCACTAATGTCATTGAAGTAAAGCAAGCCGTTAATAATGAAATGTAAGTAGAACTGTTCAGATGACGTGCAACACGTGCAACACGACGTGCAGTACGACGTGCAAAACTTGTTAAAACTGCAAAAACCTAAAATAATCAAATACCAAATCGCCCAATAGAATTTGTGATCTCAGTTCTAAAAATTACTTGTTGATTGAGATGCGACAAATTGTCATCCATAAGTATACGAAAAAGCATAGTGCATTTGATGCATTAAATGTCTCAAGTATTTTTTTTTTTTTTTTTTTGATACACAATCATATCAACTCAGATTAAATCCTAAATTTGCTTTTCAGATTTTGGTATTAAATTTATTGATCGGATTCTGAGCGAGCTAGTAGAATCCTTGACAAGTATTACAGTTACTTCCTACTTCCATTTTCCATATAAATATTAACAAATGAAATCCGTGGAAAAAACAATTGCATTCCAAAAGGGAATTAATTTAGTACTTGATAGGAATTCTGCTGTTAGAGTGGAAAAAAATTTGTATTGAAAATATTTGACACAAGTGACAAGTGACAAATGACACCACAGTTAGTTACGAGATTTTCTTTACTTCAAACATCGATAATTAAACCTTTAGATAAGAGAAACAATTTTAGCGTAGCGTATTCATTAAGAATTACAAAATATAAATTAATGAGTAAGGTTGAATACAAAAATCTCTTGCTATCTGCAGGATTTATTCGTACATCTTTCAAAGATTGGTTTTATGATTACAATAATTAGCATCTTTATTAGCTTATGCTAATAAAGCACTCTTCGTTAGCGTATACTAATGTAGGGTACATTGCTAACAATGAGGACATATACAATTCTATGCAATGATAGCGTTTTTACTCATACAGACAAGCTTAATCTTAATCATGATTCATCATGGTACATGCAAATACAGACAAGCTTAATACTAATCATGATTCATCATGGTCCATGCAAATACAGACAAGCTTAAATCTTAATCATGATTCATC